TGACTGACAGCTCTCCTCGTTCTCTGGCCAGCTTTGTCTAGCCTGCTTGTGTGTGACTGATTTCTAGCTCAGCTGCCCCCACACACCACACCCGCAGCTCAGAACTGGTCAGAGTGTACTTTAAATACATATGATCTATTATACTTCAGTTATAGCTCATTAAGACTGTGAAAGAGTCTAAGCAAATCCTTCATGAACAGAGATCAGAGAGGTGGAGAGGCGTGGGTTCTAGGTGGATCCGTGCTTTTCTCAATGACTACATCTCACTTCTCTGAATTCTTATCTAATTGGTAAGTTCTAGATATTTTCTGAGGTTGAGATCAGACTTATTTGTCCGTATTTAATAAACCCCCTAGCAAGTTGCACAACCTGGCATAGATTTCTGAATTTTGCTAGCTGTGGAATTCTGTAATCATTAGGAAGTATGGAGAAAAGTTCCCTTTCTTGAATTTTTGCATGAGAAGTCACAGGGGCCAGGGGAGATATATATAATGAGCTTCTGCAAGAGGTGCCTTGTGGCCCTCTGAGGTTCACGTTAGTCTCCTCTGTTTCCTAAAGAAGGAAACTGAGGATCAGATGGGTAAGTATCTTGGTTAAGATCACACAGCTAGTAAATGGCAGGGTAGAACTAGAATCCAGTACTTTCTCATGACAAAGCCCATGCATAGTCCTGGGCTTCACAAAGTGGCCTGTGGCCAGCATCATTTTCCTTAGTAAGAGTCCACAGAAGAAAAGAAGGTAGAGTTTGTGCTGAAAGGAGTTGCTCTGCATTTGCAGCTCAGAGGGTAGTCCTGCTAGGAGATTGTTCCTCTAAATTCCCTAAGATGCAGTGCTGATTTCAGACCTATAGGATCTTGGTTCAATTTACTATCAGATGGTAGCTCCTGGGACCACCAAAGCTCATAGCATGAACTTTCCTTTAAAATTTGCTGGTTCGAACATATTTCTCCTATCTCCAGGTCTGGTATTCAAAGAGCTACAGTTTAGGAGGCACTCTGAGCATGTGGAATCTCAGCTGTCTTTTTTGCCTCATTATAGATTAAGCATCTCTCAGATCTCCTGTGCTTTATCTGGGTGCACCAAGACAGGAGAAGTCTTAGCACAGCCTAGGGTGGTCTGGCCCTTTAAAGTCTTTTTTAGGAAAAAGCGAAGGAGAAATCTCAAACAGTCGATAGATGCAAGGAGATCAGTTCTCACCAAGAGTGCCCTAGAGCCTGGTCCTCATTAACTAGCTCCAAGCTTTGTAGAAGAATGGTAAGCATGGGCATTGTCTGAGTCTGCTGCTCTCTCTTCACCCTCCACAGGAAGCTTGTGCTTGCTCTTCTGGGACATGAAGACAGCCACACAGGGCAAATAATTTATTTGCTTAATTTTTCCAAAACCAGGTGGAAGAGAGCACAGTGAATTTGACAATGCTTGTTGAGTCTGTGTAAAAGAGAACAGGGGTGGTGTGGGGGATGGGATAAATAATGATGGGCACCCAGAGTTCTGGTTCCACAGAGACCAAAATGATACCTGTACAGCCTTAAGCTCACCCGACCAGCTTCTTTTTCTACCATTCCCCTGGTCAGGCCCTGCCCTGTCTCTGCACAATCCACAGGATATACCAAGCCTGTCCATATTTCTGGCCAGAGGCTATGATATTCCCTTTCCTACCTAATGTACCATACAGAGGGGCACTTTGTTCTCCTTCCTTTGATGGTTTTGATAGAACATCTTATGAACCAATTTTGAAAGGAGAAAGGGCTTTGGTGTCAGATAGATCAAGGTTTAAATCATAGGACAGCTATTTACCCACTGTGTGACCTCAGGCAGGTCACTTCATGTCTCTGATCCATAATTTTCTTTTTGTCATAGAAGGTTTAACGATTCTCAAGAGAGAAGTGTGGTATCTGCGAGGCCTAGTGCGGTGAGGCTCAGTGCCTTGCTCCTAGCTGTTCCTTTCTCTCTCTGGCTCCCAGAAATTTCCTGAGATCAGGGATTATAGCCTAATTCTTCTGGAGCCTCCATAATTTTGAGTGTGCAGCCTTCAGGATAGGAATGCTTTTGCTGGAAGACAATGGTTTCACTTGTTTTGCAATTCCAGGGGTAGGCAGGTGAGGCTGCTGCTTAGGGTCCCACCAGCTTCTGAATATTGGTTTTCAGTCCGCTGAGCATCAAATTATATTTCCTAGTGAGCTAGATTTCTCATCTGGTCCCTGAGCACAGTGCTGAAGGGCTTATCCTTTTCCAGAGGCAGCGCCTCAGGGTTTGATAAAGATGCCGACTGACCATGATGCCTGCTTCTGAAAGCTGCTGCTGCCTTCCCAAGTCCCACAGGCCCACACGGTTCCACAGTTAATCGTTACCCTGTTCTCCGGCCTCCTGAAGGAGCCTTCTTCCCCTTCCCACCTGCTGCTGCTCCAAGATAAGACTCGCACCCTCTGGGCAGCTCTGCCCTTGGGCCCCTTCCCAAGCCCATGTCAACTCACCCACTGTCCTTTCTGAAAACCCTTGCACCATTTCCCCATCACACTCGTGGCGCTGGTAATGCTTATTGGTCTCTGTTTCCCCTTACTGTTCTTAGGAGTTTGACTAGTTGAAAAGTAATATTGTGTTTTTATTTGAGTCCTGCATATAATACTTTTCTTGAAGTACATAGACTGGGGAAACAAAGGAAGACAGGCAGAAGGACTTTCCTGCTATTATAAATGCTAAGCTTGTTTCTTTCTAATATGCTATGGATCTTTCCCTCTGTAGTAGTATATCCCAGAGGGCTTGTGTTTAGGGGAACAACATAATGCCAACAGGCCTAATTTCCTAAAGTTCAGAGACCTAGGGGGAGTATGTGTAGGAAACCTGTGAGTGGGGTGAAGGAGGGTGGCAGAATTTATCAGGGTTCTTTCCCTTCCTTGGGTTTGTTTTCCATTAAAATGGAGAACAAGTGTGGAGATTAACAGTGTTAAAATTTAAGTAGGAAGGCAATTCTGCTAAGCATTGTGATAAATGGTTGAAAATTCAATGAGACATTTCTATCCACATAAAATAAATTTTGGTTTCTTCTTTAGAATTGCCTGTGTGGTATCTGCTGTGTGTCTGAGAGATAGGTATAAATTATGCTTCTCAAGGGAAAGGGGGCTATTCATAGAGGATCTTGTATAATGTTTTTATTATTTTTATTTCAAGCCAGTGGCTCTCAAGTATTCCAATATCAGAAAAAGTTGTAAAAGTTTTTGATGTATAGTAACTTACAGCTGAGAAAGTATTTTCCAGGATCCATTGCATTTATTCCTCATGGCAAATCTATAGATGTGGCCCTTATTATCCTTGATTTGCAAATGAGGCTTGTGGTTCAGAAAGACTCAGAAATTTGCATAAAGCCATTGGATGGGAAAGTCATACCTGAAGCAAGTTGCAGTACCTGTAAGTCCTAGGCATCTTGCATGTTTATTAGGTGTGAATTGCTGTTTGGGGTTCATAATACAAACCAGTGGAGGATGAAAGAATGGGCAAACATCCAGTGATGCTAAATGTCTGTAAACGCAATGTATTAACATTCATGAGAACAGTAAATTTGTCGTCCTGTAAATTTTTCAATCTGTTGGGTATTAAATCATTTTCCCCTAGTGAACTGTCTACTTCTGAATTTCAAAAGCCATGCAGTGGAATTAACCAAATGCACAGTATACATGAATGTGGATGAAAGCATATGGTTTTATTATTTAAGATATGATGCTATCTCCTCAAGATGAACTTTGGTAGAATACCCCAATTGTATTCATACTGCATGCTCCAGTCACTCAAGAAGCAAGGGGATATACACAAAGGCTTTGATGTCTTCTATTTCCTATTAAGTGTCTCTCTTTAGCATGTTCTTGCCTTCCCTTCTGACTGGACAGGTGTTTGACCAGCGTGGCCAGCAAGAAAGTAGATATTGTATCAAATGTGAGAAAGTTGTTGTTTCATTAGAAAATCCAAGTAGAATTAAGACCGAAAGGTCAAGGACTGCAAGCTGGGAGACCGTTGTTTCCAGGTGACTTTGTAATTATATAACTGATGCTCATATTTCCAATGGAGGATTTGTCAGTCTTATTTCATGGAAAAGGAATGGTGTAGCCAGCAAGCTTGTAATCTCAGCATTCTGGTAGGAGGCAGAAGGATCAAAAGTTAGATCCTACCCTGGGCAACTTTGTGACTTGGCACAATGTCGTCTCAAAATAAAAACTTAAAAAAGGACTGGGGATGTAGCTCAGTGTGAAGAGCCTGATTTCAGTCAATTCTTAGTACTGGAAAAAAAATGAATAAAGAAAAAGTACATGAAGGCAGAGCTGTGGACAGTGTCTACAACATCACTCCTCTTGAAAGCGGTGTCCAGAGGGTTCTGGGGGCACCTTGAGTGGGCACCTTGCAGAGGGGTGGGACAAAGAGCATGAGTGAGCCTATGGCTGCCTGCCCTAGGGAACAGATCATCAGTCTGAAGCAGACAGCCACCATCTTGCTTATGCTGCTGTGACCAGCTAGAAATTATGCTTGCTTACAGTGAGTCCAAGTTTCCTTTGACAAGGTGTCTGACCTTTGTTACAGGTGTACAACCAGCTTCGAACACCAACGTTATCCCATTTTCTTGTCTGCCTGGTGAGAGACCACAATTCCTTCCACACAGATTGTCTCGTTAGGATCCAAGAAAATAATGTGAACAGTAGTTGCTTTATAGGTTGTGAAGGGACAGATTATTATTTAAATATCTGCATATAAAATTTTTATTTATGGAGCATCCGGTATGATTGAAGACCTGTGATCAAATTACCTAAGTTCAAGATATTTGCTATAACTGAATCAGACAAAACAAAACTGATCCCATTTCACGCTTATTTTTAAAAAGTAGAGCTAAGATGAAAGCAAGCACATAGAACATCGATCACAAAGCCACATGAAAATGAATTGACATGGCTTAGCGTCCACCCAGCTGGGCACCATGCTGCTGCCCCTCACACCCTAATGCTGTGTCTCCTGCACTACAGGCATGCGCCAGGGCAATGACCATGGCACCCAGTACCGCTCGGCCATCTACCCCACGTGCACCGCGCAGATGCAGGCGGCCCTGCAGTCTAAGGAGGACTACCAAAAGGTAGGGCACTCATTGCCTGTGTGGCTGCAGGGGCAGAGGTTGGTCCCATGTTTGTGGGGGGGAGGTCTTCCACCTGGAACTGTGTTCCCTCGCACATGTCCTTGCATTTGTTCTGGTCTCTTGGAGTGGAGCCATTGTGTGCAAGAAATGGACACAATGAGGTTTTCAGAGGAGGCCCTTGTGTATTTCTCTTTAAATCAACTCCTCCAGATGAGTTTGTGCTTGTTGAAATAGTTGCTGTTCCCACTCTCTCTCCCTCTTCCTCTCCCTTTCCCTCTTCTTGTCTCTCTCTATCCCCCTTTCTCTTTGTCTGAATTTCACTTTGTTTAACCAATAGACATTTATTGTCTCACATTTGTGAGGCCAGAAGTCTGAGAGGGAGGTGTGGGCTGCGAGGAGGGTGGCCACCCTCTCCCATATACCTTCACATTTTATGTGGTCTCTTTTGTGTCCCACTTTGCCATGTTTTAAGGCCTGTGCTCCTATTGGATTAGGACTAACCCTAATGACCTCATTTAACTTGATTACATCTGCACAGACCCTGTCTAAGAGGGAGGTCACATTGTGAGAGGTTAGGACCCCAACATATCTTTTCTTGGGAGACACAATTCAACCCATAAGGCTCACTTGCCAGTAACAATAAAATACTTCTGAGAACTATAATAAAAATACTTCTCAGAAATATGTGCTTTACATCATAAAATAATTATTTTTACCATTATCTTATATAATATTTTAAAACTTCCTCCAATAGGGATTTAGTTCTTTTAAAAACAATATGAATTACTTTAAATTTTAGAGCTTAGTGCTAAAGCTTAAATTTTAGTTATCCTTACATTGTCTGATGAGATTCACATTTAACAATACAGCCAGTAGCCTCTCTGATGCTGACGTTAGAGTTAGGTGAGTGGAAATGGAGCATGTTTGCTGGTGAGCAGGTGCCAGCATTCCTCAGCTTGACTCTTGGAAGAGACTGGGCTGAAGGGGTGTTGAGAGAGACAGAGTCCTATGTTCTCACTCCACAGCCAGGATCTCTCCCTGGTGGATAATAGTAACCAGCCCAGAATGCAGATCTCAGCATTGAGTCCCCTCTGCTGGAGTGTGGAGTGTTGGCTGAGTTTAGTGACAGAAGTGGTGGGATGTCACTCCTGAAGTCTGGCTATTAAGACTATGGTCACACACACACACACACACACACACACACACACACCATGGTTAGTCAGTCAACATGTTGGGAGGCAGCCCTATGTGAGGGCACTTAGTGGCACAGTGCCTAGCAAGCATGAGGTTCTGAGTTCAATTTCTGGTACCTAAATAAATAAACTGCTCAGTTTGGGAATAATTTGAGCATATTTATATTTGTATGCCAAATAACTTTTCCTGAGGTAAAAAAGTAGAAGTAAAAAGAAATAGGTCTAGATAGAAGGGGATAAATTGGGAAGCTATGAAGGACTCCAGGGCAGAAATCCTGAGAGTGCAGTCTGGGATGGTGGATATAGGGATGGGGTAAAGGGAGGTTAGGAAGTAGACTTCATAGAACTTGGAACTTAACTGAAGTTGAAGGTCACTGAGCGGGAGGACTCCCCAGTTACTTGCAGGTTTCTAGCCAGTGACATTTTGATCAAATGGAGAGGCAGATTTGTGGGAAAGGTAAGTTCAATTTTGAAAATGTGGAGTGAGGCAACCATAGTAAGGGCATCTAGGTGGCTCCTGGGAGGAGGTGTGGGCTGCTTGTGCCTTTTTTTTTTCTTTTCAAAGTTTTATTGATAAACATATAGCAATGAGACAGTTTCAAATCAAATCAAAAGTACAGTTTCAACAAATAATACACTGCATATATTCTTCTTAGTGGTTAATTGCTGTACAAGATGCAGACTTGTGATCCTACTTACAAACACCATTAGAAAAAACCATTCTATTCATTAAGAGAATGCAACTATATATCTATCGCAACCACTTTGAATACACAGATACAAAATGGACATTCATAGTTATACCCCATTTTTTTTAAGATGCTTGTGCCTTGAGAGTTGTGTTAACTGGGTTCATGCTTGGGAAGCGCAGGATGCTGCATAGTAAGTGCTCAATGCTTGGGAGCCCCTGTTATTATTGAGGGCTATCAACATATGTTTGCTAAATGGAGACCTATTTGCTGATAAAACCACTTTCAGAAATTGGTAAGAGCTAAGAAAAGAGGGCCTAGGGTCTGAGGACCATGGACATTTGAGAAACAGAAAGGGATACTGCACCAGGCATGTTAGGCACTTTGGAGAACCAACTAAGCCCAAGCAAAAACTTTAAAAATAGGTCTATTTGTTTTAATATTAGTATATTTAATTATAAAGGTAATGCTTATAATTAATGCCAAAAGCAAGACATGAGTCTGGCTATAAATACATTGCCTAATGTAATGATTCATAGTCCTTGTAGGTTACTAGCAGTGCTATCAAGAGACTCTGGATAGATACTAGCTGACCAATAGCTCATCTCTCAAAATCAGATGATATTTCAGTGCTCACAGTAAAAATTCCAAGTTCCATGTGATGGTGAGGAGACTTACATGTTGTTTTCCAGTGTTTACCCCCAATTAGTTTCTTGCCCTTAGTTCTGAGTTGAAACTATTGATTTTAGATGACCAATGTCCATCGGAATTAAATTTAGGCATTAAACAACTAATTAATTCTTTGTCCATTTCTTCATTATTTCATGCATTTCAGAAATTTTAATCTTATATTCTAGACAGTTGTTTTAACTGAATGGTTTTTGGATGTTCTACATGTTAGCACATGGGAAAAAGATATTTGGCTTGGCTTTAAAATTGGGGTCTATTTTTGAAAAATAAGGACTGAGGACTCCTCTGCCTCCAGTACCCAGATACTCATTGCTCTTCATATAACCACTTTCTCACCAACTCAGAAAACAACCATGGTTACATATTTTTTATTTTATTACATAAATAAAATTGAGCCTAGATACCACTAAGAGATAGGAGGCAAGTCCAGTATTTCCCTTCTAATTAACTAAAACTCAGAGTCTACTCTCAGCGAGCGCTTCCAGTGCCAGCCCACCTCCTGCCATGACAGCAGCTGTCTTTTCCATGCTATCTGGCAGAGTAGCCTGCAGTCACATGTCGCTACTGAGCAATTGAAATGTAATGGGTGAAATTAAGGAGGTGAAAACAGTCTTTCAATCAATACATATATTAAATAGGCACAAGTTGCTGGTGCCTAGTATATTAGACAACCTAAGCCCAAAAAAGGGTGAGTGAGCGAGTGTGTGTGTGTGTGTGTGCATGCGTGTGCATGTGCATGGGTGTGCACACACATGTACACCATGAAAGGGCTGAGGGCTGTGTCAGTAGGCTTCTCCCCAGAGCACAGGACTGCAGGGAGTGCAGGTGCTCATGCCCTGCAGAGGTGCTATGCCAGGATCTCCACTCATCTTTTTCTTTCTGGAGACAGAGTAGGTCATTTTCCTTTTTGCAAGTGTCTTACTGTGTAGGCAGTAGGACTAACCATGCATCTGTACCTGGGTGACCACTGTGATTTCTGTCTTAGCTGGAGACAGAAGGCTAAGCCCAAGTCTGCAGCTCATGTGTGAGGACAACTGGCGTGTGTGGTGCCAGGAGCTGGAGCAAAGGACAGGGAGTGGAGAAGAGGCAGGAGACCCAGCGCACATTGGCCCTCTGCTGTCCTAACAGGTGGTCTGAACCTCTGAAATCGTCAGCCCTTCCAGGAAGGAAAGGAAGCATACCTCTGGTGGGCGCCACTGACCACGGTGCACCCTGCCCCTCTGGCTGCATGCCTCGGGGCTCAGGACAGCAGGCATGTGTGCTGAGGATGGGATGAGGCACTGGCTGTGTGTGCAGCTGCACAAGAATGGGAGGCCATGCAGAATGAGGCACATCCACTGGCACAGAGTGAGAGGCAGCTGAGGCCACCAGGATCTGAGGTGAAGTGTATGTCCGCGGCATCTGATGCCATCTCTGTGAAGGATCCTTCTCCACACCCAGCCCTGGGTCCAAGTCAGGAAGGCTAAGTCTGTAAGGGTTCAAGGCTGCCTCCAAGACTGAGGAGCTCTCTGGGCTTCTTGCTGGAACAGAGGAGGAAGAGGCTGAGGTCACTCTTAGTAGGGCATCCTGCTGCACCCATGGAGTCATCCAGTGGATGGCTTTCTCTAGCCAACTCATAGAAGTCTGTGATGGACAGTGCCTGTGTCCCTATGCAGTAACAGCAGCAATAATTACAGATGGCCAAAGAGTACTTGCTAAATGTAATCCTTGCCTCAAACAGCTCACTAAAGTCATTTGTAAATCTTCCAGTGTCTTAATCTCCATAGATATAATGGATATACTTAGATATAGGTATGTATATCTTTGTACTTACATAAAATTGTATGCATGTTTTTCTGAGATCTTGTCTCTCACTTTGAAACTCACGAATTTATAACTGTTCCTTCCATTGATATGACTGATAAAAATATATATCAAATAGGGGTGAATAAACCAATAATTTGTTTGTGTAAATGATATAATTAGGTTACATCAAAATCAATTTTTTTTCTTTTTCATTTACTTTAAGAAGTCCTATGGTTGCTACTAGGCTCCACACAGGGGAGATTCTGGGCTCTACCCCATCACCTTTGCAGTGACAAAAGAGGAGTAGACAGGTGACCCCCCAGACTGGCTTTTCTGTGTTTCATGTCTAGGGTCACCTTGAACAAATTTCTGAAACAACAGAGGCATTTAATCTTCAGAGTCATTTCTGAACACTCACAGATTAGGGTCTAGAACTCTGTAATCTTATGAAAGGCATTAGATTTGTTACTAAGAACAGGGAAATTCTGCAAATGATGCATTCTATTCATTTATATTTCCCTTTTTTCCCCTTAAAGGTTGGCATTTCTTGACCTGTCACTATGTTCCAGGACTTCATCCTATCCCAAGCCTGGTGGGGTCCCCATGTGCTAACTATAACATTGACTTAGGTTACTAATTTGAT